ATATATTTTTTGAAAAAAAGTTTAATATAAGTTACCTGCAATTTAGTTCTAAGGTAATGTTTTTTTAGCAAAGCTAGTCAGAAAACACTATCATAAGTTCATGTATTAATAGCCTTGTTTTTATTAATAGTTGTGATGTCTACAAATATTTTCTCATATAAGGCGAGAGAGACAAGAGTTTTTGATACTGGTCGTGATAACATCCGAGTAAAGGTCGAAGAGTTAAACGAAGATGATGCAAGGATTATTCTTGTAGATGAAAATGAAAGTCTAATTGACACTATAGAGGAAGTGAAATTTATAAATAAGGTGACTAAAAATAGAATATCACCTGTGGAAGTTAAGGGTTAAAAAAGCTATCTTATAACTTGGATAAATAGCTATGAGTTGTGTGTAAATAATCAAAAAATTTTCAGATTAGAAGCACAGAGAGGGCATGTGCAAATGGAAAATACAAACTTTACACAGTATTTTGTAAAAAAAGACCATTAAACTTTTTTTATTTGTATTCACACCTGTAACAGCGATATATTTTTATTTGTATATTATGTTGTTCTCCCGGCAATATAATTTTTTATAATAATAAAGAGAGAGGCTCCTAATTTTTTATTTTTACACGATTTTTTAAAATGTAGTTTGTGATTATTAATTAGTGGAAACTATTAAGTTAACTTCATTAATCTATGTTTTTAATATGCACTGATTAAATAATCAGAATTCTTATAAGTTTTTTTTCTGCTACTTAAATCATAGTAATAACCTGGTTCATCTTCGTCAGAAAAACTGCAATAATCTTTATCATCGTTATCATCAGAGAATTCATCATCATTATCATCAGAGAATTTACCATCGTTTTCATTATACTTATTGAATATATTTACAGTTTCTGGTTCCTTTGAAATCGATTTAGCAGATATGCTTATTTCAGTTTCTGGCAAAGATTTGATATCCTCATTTATCATAACTTCCGAATTATATATATGAGACAACAAGATAGAGAGGGTAGTTGTAATACTTACCTCTGTTTCTGATAAAATTCTTTTAGCTTCCTCATTAATCTCAGTTTCGAGTAAGTTATCAGAAGAATTATCGATGAATTCTATCGCAGAGTTTTTAGTGAAATGATCAATAATCATTTGAATCTGTAAATTAGTAAATCTTGAAATAGTATCCGCACTATAAGTTTTGATATATTGAACTTTACCTATTCCTATTTTTTCGAATAAATTGTCAATCCTTAAAGCTTTTTGCATTTGCTTACAAAAATTTCTACACTTGGTGGCAGGGAGTTGCTTGATAATAAAATTATATACTTGACCCTTTGCTTTTTTCTCACCAATTCTATCATTAATCATAAAATCTTTAACCATGCTTTTGAATCTTTTAGCATAGAAACACCAACACAAAATTTCTTTTTGATTAGCTTCGATTGCGTCTTTTTCTGCATTGCACGCATTTTGATATAGACAGATAATATCTTGGGTCTCTGAATCTCGTGTTATTCTGGAATTGTCACAATTTGGACGAACATTGTTCTCTGAAATTTTGATCGTATGATTTATTTCAGGAGAAATGATACTTTGTGCTTGTTCCTTGATAGATGTTGATAATTCTTGTATTAAACCTTGCTCACGTGAAATATTAGGTGTATTATTCTCAGGAGTTGAGGGTGTCTCTTGTTCCCAGAGTTTCTTTTCCACAATTCTCTCCATTATCTCTTTACTAACCTGTTCCTTATACCGAAAATTCATAAATTCATTTTCTTCCTTCTCCTCCAATGATATAGTTTTTGCAGGAATGGGAGACGTGGGGGTTAATGAATCCTGGTATGTATCAGAATTGCCAGAGGCAGTCACTTCGTCGCTAGATGTGTTATCAGATATATTAGATGTGAGGATATTATCCTCTAACGATTTGGAACTAGTACCAGCAGGGCTTATAACAGGGTTGGGTATATTGACATTACTTTCTCTTTGAGAGAGGACTATCTGTTCAGGGATGTACCTATTACCGTTTTGCGA